TGGCCTGGCTGGCCAGCAAGCCCAGGAATCCTGCCTTCCTGTCGCAGCACCAGGATGACAGGCCTGCACTGCTGCGTCAGTTTCGTTATTATTATTGTTGTTGAGATAGGATCTATGTAGCCCTGGCTGTCCTGGAACTCTATGTAGACCAGGCTGGCCTCAAACTCACAGAGATCCACCTGCCTCTGCTTCCCAAGTACAGGGATTAAAGGCGTGTGCCACCATCGCCCGGCTTGTGTTCCATTTTTATGTGGCTGTTTGGGACTGAACTCAAGTCTTCATGCTTTGATGCTATTTTTTAAAATTATTATTAGTGTGTGTGTGTGTGTGTGTGTGTGTGTGTGTGTGTGTGTGTGTGTGTGATAGTACACATGGAGGGCAGAGGATAACTTTTGTGGAGCCGATTCTCTCCTTCATCCTTGATGTGGGTTACGGGAATCAAAGGCAGGTTGTACAGCTAGTGTCTTTATCTGTGGAGCCATCTCACTAGCCTCCATGTGATCTTTTCTTTTGGAGCTGAGGGCCGAACCCAGGGCCTTGTGCTTGCTAGGCAAGCGCTCTACCACTGAGCTGAATCCCCAAACCCCTCCATGTGATCTTTAAAGCAAGTCACATCAGCGCTCTGCATCCTACACCCCTTGTCTGGACAACTAACATTATTTTAGAATCAAAGGATACCCTGCATGTGGGATCAGTTGCACACCATATCCTGAAGTGCCCTATCTGCCCTTATCTCATGCCATGCCCAGTAGACTTGAAGGAAGGATCCCATGGCTAGGTCTACCGCTAGACATAAAGTCACACAGAACTTACCAAAAACTTCATCCACAGGTTCTCGGAGCTTTGACGAAGCCATGACTCAAGAGAGCTGGGGAGGATAAAAAGGAGAGAGAGAGAGAGAGAGAGAGAGAGAGAGAGAGAGAGAGAGAGAGAGAGAGAGAGAGAGAGAGAGAGAGAGAGGACCCTGGATAAGAGGTTCAAGTTGGTCGTGGCAGTCAAGTCAATAGCTTCCCGATCCCCGCCCACTCACTGCCTTCCTTTCCTTAGAACTCTCCCTTTGGTCCTTGGAAGAGAAGCCTGTGAGCGCTGAGGCGCTGAGGCAGGAGACATTAGCAGGAAAGTCAGAGCAAAGCCACTCCAGGGCACAGACTCAAGCCAGCTTCTCGGAGTCTAACTACTGGTTGTTGGCTTCACGTAGGTCTCTGCATTGCCTTCGGCTCTCCAATCACTAGCTTCCCCTGAAAGCCTCCATCATCATCAGCTGTTCAAAATCAAATCTAGAAGTCACGGAGATTAGTAAAGCCAGAGCTCTTGTTTTACACAGAGACAGAAGAGGAAGTGGCTGGCCCAAGATTTCGCAGCAATTAATGGCAGGGACAGATTTAAAACCCAGGTTCTTCCATCCATTGGCCTACCTAGCTTTCTATTTATCTGCTTGCCCTCCCGCCCTCCTTCCTTTCCTCCCATCCACCCAACATCTATTATGTCCATACATCTACCCATCTTTGCATCTATCAGCTGTCCATCTTCCATCCATCATCCCATCCAGCTCTTCCTCCTCCATCACTTGGGCCCTTGCCACCTGCTTTTCTGAACTGTGTGGGAAGCTGGCATCACCAGCAGGGCTGTTCACTGTTTCAGACAGAATCCCAGTTCTCACAGTGCTTGACAGACTCACGGGTGCAACAGGGCATTGAGTTTTCACAGCAGAACATCCCTGCAGCATTCAGAATGTTCTGGGAAGGAGTGACGATGGGCAGAGTTGGGCTGCTGTTTGGGTTAGGTGTCTGTTTTGTTTTGTTGTGGGAAGCAAGAAGAGCAGGAAGGAAGGAAGGGAAAGAGGAGAAATGCATCAGAAACACTTCGGGTGGCCTTCCTAACAGGTATATGGGACACGGATAAGAGAGGGAAGGGGTTGGAGAGATGGCTTAGTGGTTAAGAGCACTGGTTGCTCTTCCAGAGGTCCTGAGTTCAATTCCCAGCAACCACATGGTGGCTCACAACCATCTATAGTCGGGTCTGATGCCTTCTTCTGGTATAAAGGCATACATGCAGGCAGAGCACTCATATACGATAAATGAAAAGATATTAAAAGAGAGGAGGGATGGAGGGAGGAAAGGAGAGAGAAGGGGAGGGAGGGAGGAAGGGGGGAGGGAGGGAGCTCAGGGCCACTGATGGCTCAGGGCCAGGAGAACACTGAATGGCTAATGCTGTGGATATCGCTCTATATAAATAAAATGTTGATTGGCCAGTAGCCAGGGAGGAAGTATAGGCGGGACAAGCAGAGAAGAGAATTCTGGGAAGCTGAGGCAGAGAGACGCTGCCAGCCACTGTGATGAGAAGCAACATGTTAAGATACCAGTAAGCCACGAGCCATGTGGCAACTTATAGATTAATAGAAATGGGTTAATTTAAGCTATAAGAACAGTTAGCCAGAAGCCTGCCACGGCCATACAGTTTGTAAGCAATATAAGTCTCTGTGTGTTTCCTTGGTTGGGACTGGCGGGTGAGAAAGATTTGTCCTGACCGTGGGCCAGGCAGGACTGGAGAAAACCTAGCTACAGGCTGAGACATAATCTCCAGTTATTTTGAATCCTTTGGTCTCACTGGCCTGGACCACATGCCCTCTAGCTCTCCTATCACGTCACACACTTCACAGACATCACGTCTCTATGAGCTACTGGGCTTGACTTGCATCTTGGTATCCCCCACTTTATGGTGAACCCTAATATACAATAGCTCAGGAGCAGATGTTGACCCAGGCTGCTGCTTCCCAGCCCTATCCTAGAGGCCTGATCTGCAGTTTCGGTGTCGCTCATGAGGAGGGCCAGGGTAGAGGGAGGGCTGGGGTAGAGGGAGGGCTGGGGTAGAGGGAGGGGAGCTGGTCTGCACTGGCTAGGATTAAGGCAAGCATTAAAACCACCTCCACTAGGCTTCAGGGATGCTTGGAGCTGGGCCAAAACATGCCATCTGGGAGAGGTCAGCAATGGCTCAGTAAGGACCCCTTTGCCATTCTTGAACTCTGAGAACTAGTAGCCAAGATCTAGAATATTCCTTCCTGGCCCAAGAAGCCAGATGAGAAGATAGGTTGGCCCTCAACATAAACTATATCTCTCCATTGGATCACAAAGCCTGCTCTGACTAGGGTCCAGCTGTCCCTTCTCTGGACTGTTGTCTTAGGTTGGGCTTTCCCCCCCTCCCCGCCCTACCCCTCACCCCCCATTTGTCTACACTGTTTGAAAGCCACTTCCCCAGTCCCTGAGGAATGGAGACCTTTTCATAGGTTACTGGTTTCCTGCTTGGGTCTTATCTCCCCGTCTCAGATGAACCATGTACTCTCCTCTCAGGCCAGAGACTCGGGGTAATAGCGGCTTCTCCCACCAGAATGGCTTGCTCTCTGCAGACAACACAGAGAAGGCCAGCCCATGTTCTTTACTGAGGGCTCCAGTCCAGGGGTGAGCTCCTGATGGGCACCGGGGACTGCTTTAGCCCCGTTGGGTGGACTGGGGCCTCCAGCTCAGACTCTCAGCCCATCCTGATTCAGCACAAACTGCTTCCTTTATCGCTGTCTTTAATAGCCAGCTCCTATAACTGTGTGTGTGTGTGTGGGGGGGCTTTCTGCACTATCCCGTGCGAAATTCCATGGAAGTGTGATATACCGGGGAGATCACCTGCCCCAGCCACCCCAAACCCAGCCTTGGAAAATTAGATACCCAGCCTCACCCAGGCTCTCACTCCTACACACACCCTCTCACTCACAGGTGTTCAACTACACAAGGGCGGAAATGAACCTGTTCCCTTGGAACAACCTTTGGGTCCCTTGTCACCAGACCACTCCCTTCCCCAACAGCTTACCAGCTCCTAGAGGACCCTTTGTGACCTCTGACCTTTCTCTGGGAAAAGGAAAGGCAGGTGATTTCCAAGTCACCCAGAGCCCAGGGGAAGCAGAAGCAAAACAAAAGGTATACAGCCTGGGAATGGAGCAGAAGGAGCAACTAGCGGACCCAGAGGTAGAGACTGACAGTCCACAGGGAGCTGAGAAGAAAGATCAAGAAAGAGCAGACCCAGGAGGCTCTGGAAAAGCAGCTGGGCGGCCGAGACCCCACCATGGGGTGAGGGAAGAACAGAACACCTGCCCCACAAGCCAGAGGGGAGAAGGGGGGCCCAAGTAGAAGAGAGGGGAGAGGAGGAGAGGGAAAGGGAGAGGGGGGGGAGAGAGGCAGCTGACAAGTCGCAGAAGTGGGTGACAGGCTGGCATGGGGGAAGCAGTTGTAGAGCCACGGAGGCCGTGCCCCTCCCATGGCACCAGCCTCCAGCCAGCCCCAGGCTTGGAGCAGTCCGCGGGAGTTTGACAACCCATCAAAGCGCCACGGAAGATGGGGTTGGGGCACAGGGCCCCTACTCCAATCAGAGAGCCCCCTCTCCCTAATCACAGAGGGTAGAGCAGTTTCTCCAACCCACCGGCCCAACCGGCCCGGGTTGGAAGGAGTTAAGCCTCTCCCCCTGCCCCCACACCAGTTTCTCTTTCTTTTTCTCTTTCTTTTCTTTTTTAAAATTAATTTCTTCAGGCAGGAGGAAGGGGATTAGGGACACAAATCCTATTTCAGTTTCCTCCCGACAGCCCAGCAGCTCCCCGGTCCAGTGAGGTCTCCCTAGGGATAGAGGAAGAAAGGCCCTTGTGGCTTATATTCATCTAGCCACCCTGCGGGGGTCTCACCTTGAGTCCAGCAGTCTCTGGCCCCGCTTCCCCTCCCACCCTAGGGGTCCCGGCCCCTCACCTCCAGCATCCGTCATTTTCAGGGTCCAGCGCCCCGGGAACCCCTCAGGCCCATGGTGCTCGAGGCGAGTACCGGGCGGGAGAGGGGCGGAGGACTTTCACCCCGGCCGCGGGGGGCTCCGGGCGGGCTCGAGTCGCTCCATCCCAGAGTGTTGTGGGGGGGATCGGAGGGGAGGGTCCCAGAACCGGAAAGAATGGAGAGGCGAGGTGTGTAGGGATGCAGGGAGAAAGGTCTGCGGGAAGCAGGAGGCGCGGGCGGGGCTGGACGGGGAAACCTGACGGCGGGAGGATGTTCCGTGTGTGCGTGCGTGTACGTGTGTGTGTGTGTGTGTGTGTGTGTGTGTGTGTG